AAAAAAAAAAAAAAAAAAAAAAAAAAAGAAATGTAATGAAACTTTTTTATGCCATTCATGTTTCCTAAATTAGCAGTTATCAAAAGATTCATCGTTTCTCGTACATCGTATTGGCGAGAGATGACGCTATATACTTCTTTTTACTTCTAAAATATATCGGATTAGTTATATAACTTTCTTCTGCTTTCTATCTATGTGTATGTCGACATGTGATAACGACATACGCACGTAACGATCATTGATAATTTTTTGATTTTCAAATGATAAAATGTTATTCTTATAATGTTTATAAATATGATAAAATTAGGTATAAAATTAGGTAACAAAATTATCAATAAAGAAAAAGAATAAACAAATATCGAACGATAGATTATTTGATTTGATGACAAAGATGCAGCAATTTGAGAGCAATAGCCGTTTTGATTGTTTGTCGAAGATAGAGGAGAAAAAAGACGGTATAAAAACGAAGAGAAGTGTAAAAGTTGTGTTATCTTACGATCGATTCGCGTATACGATCCAAGAAATCTTAAAACTAATTCCAACATCGATTTGGAGAAAGTTTCTAATTATCGAGATAACACGTTATATATTTCAATATTTTTATTTTGTTCTTCTATGTATTTTTTGAATTTCTATGGTTTTTCGAATGATTTGTTACATTTTTTTTTTCAAGAATGATAGATATTTGGAATTCTACTAGAATAAAATTTACCGAATCATTTACCATTTTTCTCCACTTGCCGTACGCAAAACAGGTCAAGGAAACTAACATGTAAATTTTATTCAATATATTTTTTTCAAAGATTCAAGTTATCGATCGACACGTGAATGTTTTATTCGATTTTTGTAACAAACCGGTCGTTCCTACGCAAAATGGACTCGGTACGCACAAGAGGCATTTCGTATCCACCAACAACATTCATTTAGATCTTTATCAATCAACTTTCACCGTATGATCGTATATTGCTTTTTCGTATTTTGCCTTAATCTTGATCTTCTCATGAGAGTTTTCCGCAACTGCAATAACTAATATTTCATGTAATAAATATTAATTTTATCTCCATGTCCAAGATTATTAACTAAAACGAACGTTTTTTTTTTTCATTTGATATGTCATTTGTTCATTGTTTGTCATTTAATATGTCATTTAATTAAAATTAACGGATTATTCTATTCCGTTCTAGATCTTTAAAATAAATAGATCCGCAGAACATGAGAGAAGAATAAGCGGGCAGAGTATTTGACGAGTTTTTATCGACTCTCTGATTCTTCTTTATTTCCACGTAATGTAACTAAGTGTATACGTACATTTATTTTTTTTTTTTTTTTATTGCGATGTAATTTCGTACGTTCGTCTCTGATCGCGCTCCAGGATCGTTTCGTCCGGGCATTTGCGAGCTCATTGGAACGTTTTAAGCCCTACCTTTCGTGTAACGCGTCAAGATAGCGGAGGAGGAAGAGCAGGAGATGGAAGAGAGGGGAGAAAAAGGTAGAAGGGGTTTACTTTTTATCGAGTCTGTGTCATTAGTGGCCGCAACGAGTACTATAAGTTGGTATCAAGAACTCAGAAGTTCGAAAGATCTTTGAGAGACGAGCGATGACGATGACGAAGATGAGGTTGGGAATGAGTATGACGACGACGACGACGACGACGACGACGACGACGACGACGACGATGACGATGACGAGGACGAGGACGAGGACGAGGACGAGGGCGAGGGCGAGGACGGGGACGAGGACGAAGATATCGAAAGTACCTACCACCGTTCGCCTTATTAGGTCTCATCCTCCCTCCCTTAGTCCTTTTTACCCCTCTCGGTCCCCTTCCTTCTGCTTTTAAAATCATAGCTGCACGTAACCGTCTACTGATTATATGGATTCGGCGATGATTTCTGATGATGCCCCCGACCCCCGAAATGGTAAAATAATACAGTGTCGTCTCCTAGCCTGGACCCTTTTGGGTCTCGTGGGCCGGTTCGTTAGCGGGGCCTTGGCGTGAGGCACCCTGTCATTATGCGGCTGGTCTCCATCACCCCCACCAGTTTCCAATTTTCAGTGCCCCTCTACTACGCCTCGACGAAATCTCTTACCTCGGTTTCTTCCTTTTGCTTCGTCTTCCCGGTCCATCCTTTTTTTCCACTCTCTTATTTAACATTAGTATAGTTTGCCATACGAAGTGAACCGTACGAGTACATGTATATATATATATATATATATATATATATATATATATACGTCACCGATCTGAAAATAGAAAAGAGACGAAGCAAAGAATATCATATAGAAGATCAGAAAGATCGAAGATGATCTTTCGTCCCACAAAGTTGTCCATCTATTTTTCTATTGCCCGTTTCGAAATCACGTTTTTTACGAAATCCGAGCGCGAAACTCTAGATCCACTCACACACGACTACTGCGGACATTCGAAACTGGTAACTCGATCGTACTCGGTTCGCTTAGTACCATCGTTGCACCTTAGCTCGTAAAAAACATAGTTACTTCTCCTTTGTCTACTTCTCCTTTTTTTTACGAATTTTCTTTTCTTTTCTTTTCTTTTCTTTTCTTTTCTTTTCTTTTCTTTTTTTTTTTTTTCTATCACGAGCATCAATCTTTTTTGCTTTCAGTCGATCGAAAAGCAATCGTTGTGTCGTCGCGAAAAAAAAGGATAAATTCGCGATAGAAACAACGAAAAAACGGTAAGGAAGGAAGATGATTAAGGAGGATAGAGATGGCGGAAGTTGAAATTCTCCCTTAACTTCTTTCTTTCAGAAAAGTTGGTAATCTTTCATTTTTGAACGACCTATGTCCTTGAAAGCAAGTTGGGGTGTAGGTGGCCCTCGCGACCGGTAATCATTTCGTTTAATGATGAGAGCTTTGTCGGTCCTTTCCACTCTTCGGCCTCGGATTATCGCTGCGTGCTCTTTTCTCGTATCCGCAGATCACTTTGGTTCTTTCCATTTCTTCTCTATCTTTTTCTTCTTTCTCCCTTTATTTCCGAACTCTGTAATTTTCCCCTAACGGCCATGCCACCGTGCCACTATACCACACCGAAATTGGCGTACAGCGGAAAGATTTCGTAGAAATCTCTGACGTTCTTTAATGGGAAGGCGTCTGAACGGTGACAATGGCACTTTTTCTCTTTCTTTCTTTCTTCTTCGGAATGAAGAAGAAAAAATATCGATCTAACGAGAGAGAAGGATAGAAGAAGAAGGAAGGAAGAATCGCAAAGTCGAGAAGAATTAGGAGGAGGATAATCATGAAGCGAATAAAAAGATAAAGAAAAATATCGACTATAAAGAAAACGGAAAAGAATAAAAAAAAAAAAAGGATCGCGACAACGATGAAGAAGGGGGAAACGAAGGAAAGGAACATGACGGAAAAGAAGAAAAAGAAGGAGGAGAAGGAGGAGGAGGAGGAGGAGGAGGAGGAAAAAAGAAGAAAGTAAAAATGTTTTGATCGTACATATTTTTCACAAACCATATGTATTACGGAAATATGTGTAATTAGAATGTAGACGAGATTCAAAGACGTAAATTAATTTCCGTTCTAATACGTATTATGCGAATGAAATTGAAATTCGATGATGGAAGAAAGGTTGTTGTTCGCGTTACGCGTTTGTAGCGGATCTCTTTCCCGCATCCAGCACCTGCGAGAGATCGGGCCGTGTGGCCGATGGTTGAGCAAACAATACGGACGATGATGCACCATCTCGAGCGCATTGTCCGTAGCGAGTAGTAGTAGGCGGCGGATTTATCTGCCTACTCGTAGAGTCAGGTAGAGGAGCCAAGCAAGGTCCTCGACCCTCGGGACGCGTCGCGCGAGTCGACAGAACCCGATGGATCTTCCTTTCGTTCCAGCTCGGGATTTCGCACGGGAACGTTGACATTTCCGTCGATCGCTTTCGCACTTCCCACTTCTTAGACGGAGAACAGGTAGTCCAGTTTTCAATGGATTGGACGCGTTCGAACAGAGCTTAGAGCTGTTTCGCGATCCTGTCGTCGTTTATATAAGATAAAAAGTAAAAGCGTAGCGCGCGAGATATCGAAACTGCGCATAATTGCGCGCTAATCTGAATTCTTGGCGCATATGAAATTCCAGCGCGTGCCTGTATAGGGATTTGTTTATTTGTTCGTTCTTTAGAAGGGTCGAGGGAGGGGGGAGGGGCGGAAGGAAAGAAGGAGAGAGAAGGCCGTGCTTTTAGATTCTCGGTCACGCCACTCGCGCATCATGAGTCATCTGTGATGCACCGTGGAATTATTAACGCGAGAATTTATCACTTATGGTCTAGCTGCGTGCCGAGTGTAAACTATCGATGATCTATGCACGAAATGCTGCGAAATATATTATCGAAGCACGCGATTATCCTGGAAAACGCAAGAGTTTAATATCGTCGTATCCAAATATCTCGTGAAACCAACATCGATCTTTTGGCCTTTCAAAAGACGTGTTAACAGATGATCAAAATTAATGCATCGCTTCCCGTTAAGATGCAAATTTCATGCTCTTTAAACGGAGATTGGAACGTAGTGCGACGTAGTTGGACAAGATCTATGTCGCGTAAATGCGCAATTCGTAACGAGAAAAGAAAGAGCGCGCGCTTCTATCAAAAGAAGCGTTCGCTTCGTTCGTCGAATTTCAACGATTTCACTGAAAAAAAAAAAACGCGAAAGTTCGTACTCAGCATGCAAACTATCCGGAATCTCTCTCGTCACGTCACGAAATTCCAGGACCTTTGGCACAGGCGTAGAAGAGGCTCGTAGGGCTGAGCGCGGAATGAGCGCCGATGGTAAGTCGGTTCTTCGCATACCGAACTCTCAGGTAGGTTGGAAGGTGGTGAACGAGCTAGACGAGGAAAGAAACGAGAAATCTGTGAGGCGAGAGAAAGAGAAAGAATCAACGGCGAAGGGGAACAGAATTGGAAACAGAGAAGAAAGAGTAAGAAGAAAGTGAGAAAGAGGAAGAGAGAGAGAGAGAGAGAGAGAGAGAGAGAGAGAGAGAGAGACGTAAGCAAGCGGGCAGACGAGCAAACGGGCAAGCGAGCAAGTAAGCAGACAAGCAAGCAGGCAGAGTTTGGTATAGTTAGTCTAGCTGCTCGATGCTGCGAAGCGAGCTGAATGCCGAGGCTCCGGTATATCGAGGTGCGCTGTACTACCGCTCCCCTCTCCAAGATGGCCGCCGTTTGGGTCCAGCCGGGTTCCCCTGACCGAGCCAGCCGAGTCGATCGTGTCAGGGGAAGGGTAGGCCTTGCAGGTGCCGCCATGTCAGTGCATGCCTAACCTCGAAGCCGCGCGGAACGGACGCTGGGCCCAACAACGCCAACATCTCTCACGCAGTGTTTCCATTTTCATCAGCCGTTGTTCATCGAGGCTCGTTGTTAAATCACAAGATCGACCATCTAAAATTCTCGCGATTCGCTACGTTTCGTTCGATCGATCGCGTGTGCGCGAGATCTCGGATCGAACTTGTATAATATACAGAGGAACCGAGAAAGAGGTGTATCGAAGCGAAAGGAGACTCTATCTAGAAAGAGAGAGGATCGGAGTAAACGTTCTATGATACGCGACGTGGAAAAGTCGTATCAAACGTGGTTTTCGTATCTTTTTCTTGTACGGTGGTTCGCGTCGCGTTCATCGTTCGTGGATCGTTGGTTGTTGGTCGTCGTGTAGGCAGTGTATCGCGCGTGACAGTTTTTGGGGAAAGATCGGCTGATGTTATTTAAAAATACAGCCGTGAATCGAGGTGAGAAGTAAATTCGCGGCAAAAAAAAAAAAAAAAAAANAAAAAAAAAAAAAAAAAAGAAGGAGAGGTTAACGTACATTTCGATTCGTCTCACTTGCCCGTTAACAACATCCAAAGGAGGTAAGAACGAACGAACGATCGATCGATCGACCATTTTTCGAATACGAGAGTCGAGAGAACAAAAATTTGTATGCAAAGCGGTTAATGGTGGCCGATGAAAATGAGAAAAGAAGAAGAGATTACGAAGCTAAGGGTATAGAGATCGATTGGCGGAGGAAATCGTGAACGTCGAGAATGAATTTTTGAATTGGATCCGACGGAAGCCAAGAGATGAAGGGCGTTCCAGACGCAAAGCGATCGTGGCGAGTTCACGACCGATCGTGTTGATCGTCGAATTATCGGACGTGAATCTAACGCGAGGAATGTACGATATCTCGAGGCGAAGATATTCTAGAAGAGGTGAGGACAGCGCGGATACCACGAGTTACTAGAGAGAAGAAGATAGATCTATGGAGAGAAAGTAAGAAAGAGGACGAGAGAGCACGTACGCGGTGTTAGAACGAAAGGAGGAAGAAGAAGAAGAAGAAGAAGAAGAAGGAGAAGGAGAAGGAGAACCGTAGAAGAGGAAACGAGGAAAAGAAAGGAATAAGTGATTTGAAGGAGAGAAAAGGACAGGAGAAGAAGGTGGAACGGGGTCGGATAAGCTCGCATCTACCGAAGGAATTTCCACGAGGCATAGCGAGTCCTGGCGAACGGCATGTTTATAATCTAGCACAGTCACCTTCAGAGACGTTGGTTCGTTGGTCGAAAGGATCGGCAGGCAGGTTATACACGGAAGGATAGGCGCGAACGCACAGTCGAACGTAATTCCTAGAAAGGAATGGTGGAAGTGTTTACGAGAGAAACGAGTTGGATAGAATCGTGATTGTGGTTGGTGGTGATACTGATAGGTAGTGGGTGATCAATGTGTCGATTGATAGTGTATAAGCGCTCTCTTTATAGCCGGTGAATTTTTTTTAAAATATCGACGAAACTCGTGCTCGGATTTTCTCGATTAAGAGACTCGGACAGACTCGGAAAGACGGACAAACTGAGACGGACAGACAGACGGATAGAGCGAGAGAGAGAGAGAGAGAGAGAGAGAGAGAGAGAGAGAGAGAGAGAGAGAGAGATAGAGCGAGTAGAGAGAGTTTTCGTGGCCGTATGAAGAAGATTCGGAGGCGTCATCTCACGATCGATCGTTCAGGAATGGAAAGAGAATCGAGATAATAGCGAAGGAGGGCGGAGGTGGAGGTGGAGGTGGTTGCGGAGGCCCCCAGGATGCGGCACCTGCTACTGTTCCTCGTCCTGGGAGCGACTCTCGCCCCGGGCACGCGTTCCGAGCTCGTAAGATACTTGGAGGTCTCGGAGAACGCTCGACCGGGTACCAGGGTGGGTTTCATCGACGCCGACAGTCCGCCGTACTTGATCGTGTCGGTTTCCGGATCCGCG